AACAACTAGGGTCTTTGTTCAAATGTTTATCAAGAGAGCAACTCAGATCTCAGATGTGATCGCCGTGAGAACATCCTGCTTGAAAATGACCTTTTGCTCTTTCTCTCTTTAATCTTTGGTTTTGAATAAGGTCTAAAACCAGGTGACAAAACTACTTAGACCATCCCATCTAGGTAATTTAAAAACTGGGTCTGTCCATACAAGGAGAACAACACGCCTTAATTGCATAAATTAAAACAAAGGAAACACCTTTTTGAACAAAAGTAAAGACCCCAGAGGAACAAATCAGATTTGCTTTTGCAACTCTTCAAAGACGTCTTTGCCTTTCTTTCTTCTTCTTTTCTATGTTTTTCAGGTAAATGAATGTCTGTTTTAGTGTGTTTTGAAGTGTATGTGTTGGCAATGTGATTTTATACTTTTAAATGTTAGAATAAACTCTAAAAATGCATGACGTGGAGATCTGATTGTTAACTGTGGCTTTTTCTTCCAAGTATGGCATCATTGAGAGGATAAGAGAATACAACGAGCCAGAACTTGATGATTTTTATTCTCTTACATTAGCTAACTCATGAATTATCTCAAGGCTTTGTTTACTTCATTCATATTTTAATAATCATCTGATTTGTATGGACATTGTAGTTAAACTACGTTACATTTGATAGGTAGTTGGTATGAATGGAGACGGTTTAAATACAGTAATAACATTGAGATGCATTTAAATGTGTGGTTCTGCAGGCTGTTCTCTGGATCAGACTCTGACTCCAACATGTATGGATGCTGGATGATTGTTGACATTTTTAATAAACTTTGAAGAAAAAAGTTTCTCTGCCGGTAGATGAAGTGTTGTTGTCGTCAAACTACAGAAATGGACGAATGGGGTGGAGTGGAGCCCTCTATGATCTGGAGGGAGGCGGGGCCTGAAATGTCTCATTTACATTTAAAACGCAGCAAAACAAGTTTCTCTAAAACCTCAGAACAGGAATAAACAAGGGATCTGTGAAGCTACAATAACCAGGAATTCAAACCAAAACAGTGCAGTTCTCCTTTATATAGACCATAAGTGAATGGTTTATGTAAAAGCATGATATATCCACTTTAAATCTAATGTGTTTGAGTTGCATTTTTAGTTATTTAACTAACTATATATGACTATATCAAAAGTCATTTTGTATCAGTGAAGATCTAAATAATGTTTAACTTTTGTACTTGTACATTTCATAACCTGTACTCTGTACTTTATCAGTCACAAGTATCTGTATTTCTACTTCAGTAGAGAATATAAAAACTTTTGAAACTTCTGATCAGATCAGATACTGACTTTGCCTGGACAGTAAAACAGATGGGATGGGTTTCATTGTCATCATATTGACTGAAAGACGGCGTCCATGTCAGGGTGAAATATCCTGAACCAGATGAATTCTTGGTCATGCTGACCGGTCCGCTGAACAGCAGCTCAGTGATCCTTTAACACACAGGAAACACATCAGTCTGGTTGGTTATATGTCCAAAATGCCCTCAAACCAGACTTAAAAATTATCTTCAAAATGTGATTTTCACCATGAATTATGTCAAATCTTACCTCTGATTAGAAACATTTATTTTCTACTCACTCAGACTGAGTCGCCTCTGCTCTGATGTTGATTTCTATCATCTCATTAACGTCTATGAAGAACTGAGCTCCATGTTCAGGAGTTGGAGGCAGAAACCTGGGCAGATATTCACCTGCTGTGCAGGACGGAGCTGCAGGATCCACTGGAGCAACGCAGGGAAAAATAATGCAGATGAACTAATGAAACACATTAAAAATGGTTTGTCTAGACAGAGAAGTGGGCAGTATATTATTTGTCATATAATCCATCTTTATAACAGGTGATCTTCTTTTTGTATTATATTTCTGTATCTGGAATTTAAAAGCCTGATGTCTTTTAATAGTCTTTAGTTATTGGTCATCTTTAAACAGAAACTTATTGAATATTAAATTTATTAATACCAGTGTTGCTCTTTGGCAGTAAAACAAGCTGATTGAAACATGAAATCAAACCTTTAAAAACAAACTGGACAGAGATTTGGCTCATGAAGCTGCTGGGGCTCCATGAAGACGTTGAACCATCGTATCGAGTCAGATTGATGGTCTGTCTGGGAAAATCCTCCATCATCAGCTGAACTGCATATGAACCTTCATTGCTGCTGCTGGTTGGACTGAATGATAGAGAACAAGACTGGAAGAGAAGAGAGAGAGAAAGATTAACTATGTTATATTTAATGTTCTCTGTTATGGATTCATGTTTTTGTTCATACCAACAATATTTGTTTTTAAAGGTGTTAAATAAAAGCACCTTTGTAAAGTGTGTTTTTATTTAAAACATGAAACAGAGTAATTCTTCATCATTAGTCATTTATAGTTAATTAAATAATCAGTAAATTTTGTTTTATTAACTGTAAACATTTTCTGTTGCATTGCTGTAACCAACATTTATTACTCACTGATGACAGACTGAGGACAGGCGACCATGTGCAGGTGTAGCACTCATAGTTATCGGGACTGGATCCATATCTGCATTGAACATGGTCTCCATCAGGGTCAAAGGTCAACAAGCTGATATTCCTCTGACAGTTTGAAGGAACTCTGAGAGAAACAGAAACAAATGTCACAAAGAACAAACAATCTGCTCAAATTATTTGATTTTCATCAGGAATCTTCAGTATCTTGACTGATTTGTATTTCAGTGTTTTTATTATTTGTTTTAGTTTATTTTGCTCCTGAATCTCTTTGGTCTCTTTTAAAGATAAAATCAATTCACAGCATTTGGATGTTATTTGGAAACTTTTTCTAATTATTAAAGCTTCATGGTTGGGCTTTACAAGAAATAATTATTTAAAATATTAACAGAATCAAACTATTCTTCATGTTCAACTAAAGACACCATCTGTTTCTGAATAGTTATTAACATGATGTAAAAACTGAATTACCTCATAAGAGGGATGATGCCGGTCTGTGGTGATGAGTTCGGTCTGTTGATGTCGGATCGTTTTTTCAGCTCATATGTCAACTGAAATCGCGCAGATGAAACGTTTTTTCTGTTACTTATCCAGGTTCCAGGATTCCACCTTTAACAGAAGATTTTGGGAGGATTTCTGATGTTACTCAGAGTTTCTGAAACACAGAAAACTTTACAGAGCAGCAGATCAAAAAACTGACAGGAGATTTAATTCAGTTAAATTTTAGATTTAGTCACTTTTTGGCAACAACTGAGAAATGTTAGATATTTTTGTTGAGATTCAGTTACCTGCCCCAGTAATAGTCAAAATTCCAACTGCTCTTGTCGATGTAGTCTTTCAGACACCATTCACCGCTGCTTTCATCAATCTTGTTAGTGGGACCCCACCATGATTCAATCTCTGCACATGAGCTGAAGCTCAACTTAAAGCGACGCACAACCTGCAAATTTAAAGTGAAGAAGTGTTAAATACACTTAAAAAAGGGCATGAAAAACTTCAGAACATCTGGACTTACTGTAAAACTGCTTCCTTGTACATTTTTAGTGGTGTGGGTAATCACAACACCAGTATAACCAGCTTCTGTCCGGCTGACCATCATCATCATCATCATCATCATCAGCACAGAGAGCAACATGATGAACGAATCGGTTCTACTAACTAAGATCGGATCATCAGAGACAGGCGACTTTATACAGTCTCTCCTTATTCTCTCTGTTTCCTGTTGGTGACATGGAAACATATTTTTATGGACTGTATTTACATAATGAACCAGGAAATGTCGACACCTGATTCATGATCAGAAAAACATTTCCTAGGAGGTAAATTTTGCTTTGCAAACTGAAAGACATTAAATCTATATTTGCTTCATCTCAGTGTTTCTAAGTCCTGCAGCTCCACCAGGTTCATTATTTATCTCAGTTTTTGTGTCTCAGTGAATATTTAAGATGTTCACAGATCAGAGCTGATCACTACCAGTTCACCACTGGTTTCACCAGATACAAACTTTAATGGCTGCAGACCAGCAGTTCATCTCTGCAGTTACACCAATAATATCCAACATATAATCCATGTTATGGTTTTTGTTTGCTTGTTTTTATACCAGTTTTTCCTGATGAATTTTAAACTGCTACTTAGTTTGATGGAAAACTTGTTCTATAGTCCAAGTATAACTAGGAATCTGTAAATGATCAATAGTAAAGATATTTATGTTTTAATTTGCTCTTCTGTCTGCTGACTGTATAACAAAACTTATTTTAGTCCTTTTTCCTTTTTTGTCCAGACATTTCAATGAACATGGTGTTTTTTACACTTCTACAAAAGATGGAAAGGTACACCATCATGCAAATTATTTTGCATAATGTACGCTTCCTTGTTTGTTTACATATTTTTGCAGGTGTGTGGAAATCACCTAACAGATGACCTTTACTTTCTTTTCTATGTCTTCAGTTGAACTTCTCCTTTTTCCCAACATTCACTATGTTCTAGTTTGAAAATGTTATTTAGGTTTGAAGAGTTTAAATGTCTTTCATTCTTTATCTCTGTAATATGAGAAAATCATTTTGTCTACCTGTCATGACTGGTTCAAGGTCATAACATGTAGTGGTTACGGTGTAGAAAATGAATATTTATTAAAAACTACAATGACTGTGATGTCAGTGGAGTAAAGCAATTGGTTGGATGTGTTGGATGTGTGCATGAAAGTGTTTAGGTGCAAAAACCTCAACACTTTCTCAAATGTGCAAGAGGAAGCAGAGCAGGACAGGCATCAGGAGGCAGAGAGGCGACCCAGAAGGTGGAGACGACCAGCTTTAAATGTCCTGAGCTCCAGATCAGCAGATCAGCTAAACCTGTAGAGGAGGAGCACAAGACAAACACTAAAAACACCTGGAGGCCCGTAACACTAACCTTCAACCAGGTTGTAACCGGGTTGTAACTACTTACATTTACTCAATTACATTTGCATAAGTAACTTTGTATGAAAACATGTACTTTTAGGAGTATTTTTACTTCAACTGAATGAAAAACAAACATGTTTTAACCAAAGTTTCACCAGACACCAGACGTTTATTGAAAGAACTGGATTTTTCTAATTTTTTTTATTTATTATTGTTTATAGAAATTGTCATTTTGTCCTTAACTAATATAGTATTATTAGTCATAATAATATTAATATTAGTAATATTCATAGTTTGTATGGGTACAATATGTTCTTTTTACTTATTTCTGGCAAACAGAACCTTGTCATATTTTAAATGAGTTCTTGTTAAAAAATCCAAGTGCAGAAAGTCACTAGAGCGTTTATAAGTTTAATGAAATAAAGAGAGACGAATAAAATCCTCAGCAAGGATCAGGGTAGAGAGAGAGATGGGAGGAGAGGAGCAGGAAAGAAGTAAAGAAATTACCTAACAGAGATGCACAATAAGTAAATAAAAAAAGAACCAAAGTGAGAATAAAAACAAAAAAACGAGCATCTGATTTAAGTAAGGGAAACGGAAAACAAAAAGCAAACATAAAAAACAAGTGATCAAAATGTAAAAACCCAAATAATCCAGGATCCTGAAAAACCTGCCATCTTCCTGGACTTGTTGATGGAAAGACATTTTCATGTTACGTTTGAATAGTTGTTTAAAAATATGCACAGAAAAACTCCAGGCACATTCAAATAACTGTTTTTTAAAAACTGGTCCAACAAGGGAAAGCACAGTGCACCATTTGTTTGTTTTTTTTCTTCTTTTTTTTTGCTGATGTCACAAAACAGGAAGAGGCTGAGCCAATGCAGCTCTCACTAGATGGCCTGAAAACTGCATTTCTGTAGGTTTAAAAGAAAAAAAAGTGTAAAGAACTAAGAATAATCTGAAAATCAAATCCAAATGAACAAGGAAGAAAACAAAAAATAAACCAAGAAATTGAACTAAAAGGAATGAACTATATGGCAACACATTAGTAACAATAATGAACAGAGAAAAATTAAATAAACCTGGCAAGACATGGCAAATAAAACCCAAAGCAGCCATAAATCATGACAGCTGTTATGTCTGCGTCTTAAATTAATGATGAATTAACATGTTTATATTTTATATAACAGCAACAGGCCAGATTCAGCCTTCCAGATCAACAGTCTTCAGTTGCTCAGAGCGGACAACGACGAAAGGTTGGGGGAAACACGGGGAGGAGGAGTCTGTCTGTATGTGAATGAAGTTGGTGTACGAACTGTGGACTGGCTAAAAGAGTCTGTCTGTATGTGAATGAAGTTGGTGTACGAACTGTGGACTGGCGAAAAGCTGCTGCTTTGAGGTGATGGAACTCATGACAGTGAAATGTCGGCCGTACGATCTGCCTCAGGAGTTTACTGCGGTGTTCATCACCATTGTTTACATCCTGCTGGGTGCAAACGGCAGTGAAGCATCGAAGGAGCTACATGACACCGTTAGCTCACTGCAGATGAAACACCTGGAGGCGTCTTATGTGGCTGCAGGGGGACTTTAACCACGTGAAACTGACAGACACTCTGCCCAGTTTTACCAGCACGTCACCTTTCCCACACGGTGAGACAACACTCTGGACTGTGTGTACACACCAACATTCATGTTGCAGCTCTTCCTCGTCCATCTTGGCCTCTCCGACCACATCTCCATCCTGCTGGCGCCAGCATGTCGTCCACTGATGAGACGGATCGGACCAACGAAGAAGACAGTCACTGTGGTGCAGAGATGCAGCCTGTGTGCTGCAGGACAGTTTTCAGCGCACAGACTGGCAGCTACTAATGAGGGAGAGGTGGACCTGGAGGAAAACACCTCCTCTGTTCTGGGCTTCATCTCCGAGTGTCACCACCACCTCTTGGAGAACTGGGTTACAAATTGACACTTTTTCTCTCTCCCGCTCTCTATTTTTTGAAAACCTGATTGTATCTACTTTTTTAGCAGCATAGTAACAGCCACAGTCATTCTTGTCTTCTACTGACTGCTGCTGAACAGAACGAACCATTTCATGCAGATCCATGGGGGTTCAGTGCAAATATGGATGTTTGCTTTTTGGTCTGGGAGGGGGAACATTATATTTTTACTTCTAAAACCAATTTTAGAAAACACAATGTAATTAATTTTGTAATTGACAGGACGCCCTTTTTTTTCGATGAACAAAAAAGGAGGGCCCCGTCAGTCAGGGGCCCTCGGNAACATCCTNACTTTTCCCCCCTATATGGGCCCTTGGGTGGAGAACATTGGGTGTGTTCACACTGCAGCCTGAAGTGACCCAATTCTGATTTTTTTGACGTAATGCGACCTGTATCTGATCTTTTCATGGCAGTGTGAACAGCACAGGTCGGATTCTTTTTCGAATGTGACCCATATCCGATACGTATCCGATTCAAATGCGACCTAACGTCCAGGTCGCATTCATCCGAACTGAACGTCACTGATTCTCAACAAATCTCACTGTTCTGCGTCCTGATAAGCGCAAGCGGGAAGAAAAATAACAACCATAATGGACTATATGAGGATTAAGTTGTTAATATGCTGCTCCAGTCGGACAACAACTTCAAATATGTAAGCTAAGCTCCACCGTTAGCCTCCATGTTTACTTCCGCAAACACTGAGCACTACTTCTTTTTATGGCGGTTGGCAGAACACTTAGAATGCTGACGCTATTGCGCCCTCTACTGCGCATGCGGGACACTTTCAGGTCGTTTGCCCGTTCACACTGCAGAACGCATACAGGTCGCATTTACTGGCAGTGTGAACGGCCCTGGCAAAAAAATCGGAATTGGGTCACTTCAGGCTGCACCCATTATCTGCACCTGCATCCCCATGTGGCACAGTAGCTGCACTGCTGCTTAGAGCATCGCTCTGCAGAGGACTGTGGGTTCCAGCCTTTTCCTTTTCCATACAGGTCGCATATGTGTGCCAGTGTGAACGGCCTGGCAAAAAAAATGGGAATTGCCAAAAAATCGGAATTGGGTCACTTCAGGCTGCACCCATTATCTGCACCTGCATCCCCATGTGGCACAGTAGCTGCACTGCTGCTTAGAGCATCGCTCTGCAGAGGACTGTGGGTTCCAGCCTTTTCCTTTTCCATAC